TTTTGATAGCGGCAAAGAAATTGCAAATGCTTTTGCTAAACATTTTTCTAGTGTATATGAAACACCAAGTCCTTCACAGAGCCTTAGCACTGTTGCAAAAAGGTTCAGCTCGCCAAACTTAAATTTGAGCAGTGTATATATAAAAATTTCTGATATTTGTGAAAAGCTGGCTAGCCTGGACTTGTCAAAGGGACCGGGTCCTGATAGTGTGAGTGCATTGTTTCTTAAGAACTGTGCTTTCTCACTGTCTAGGCCTTTATGGATTTTATTTAATAAATCTTTAGCCCTGGGAGTTTTTCCAAAGAAATGGAAAACCTCCTACATTATTCCAATTTTTAAAAATTGTGGAAATCGAGAGAATGTTGAAAATTACAGGCCCATCACATTGATATCGTTAATTCCAAAGGTTTTTGAATCATTTGTAGCAGATTTTTTGAAGGAAAAATTTAAAAATGTTATAATTGCACAGCAGCATGGTTTCTGTGAAGGAAAATCTATAACTTCTAACCTTTTAGTTTATCATTCACATATAGTTGAGGCATTGGAAAATGGGCAATCTGTTGACTCAATTTATACAGATTTTGGGAAAGCATTCGACAAGTTGAATATAGATATTCTCATTGAAAAGCTCTCTTGTTACGGATTGCATGGAAGTTTATTGAACTGGTTAAGATCTTACCTTTCTGAAAGAGAGCAATTTGTAAAAATTAAAAACTGTCTCTCAAATCCAATTGCTGTCTTGTCTGGTGTACCACAAGGTGCGCACTTGGCACCCATTTTATTTATAATTTTTGTCAATGACATAGCCCAATGTTTTAAATTCTGTTCTTTTCTTATCTATGCTGACGATGTCAAGATCTATTTACCTCTTTCTGATAATAACTCAACATTAAAGATTCAGAGTGACCTTGATCAATTTGTTAAATGGAGTGAAGAAAATAAAATGATCCTTAACACAGACAAATGTAAATACATTCAATTTTCAAAGTCTAACAATAATATAGTCAGCAGTTATCACATAAATAATACCCAACTTCAAAATGTGAATGTTGTTAAAGACCTGGGTGTTATATTTGATAGCAAAGTAACATTTTATCAGAACATAGAGGTTATAAGAAATAAAGCTTTAAAAATGTTGGGCTTCATAAAAAGAAATACATCTGAATTTACTAACATTGGAGCTATAGTAACTCTCTATACTTCACTGGTGCGATCTCATCTAGAAAATTGCAGCAGCGTGTGGTCTCCATATTATGTAACTTATCAGGACATGCTTGACGGGGTTCAGAGAAAATTTCTACGATATATAGCTTACAAAAAACACATTTCTATTGAGAATTTAGACTATAATGCTCTTGAAAAGGAGTTAAGGATTGGATCCCTAAGAGCCAGGAGAGATTCAGCAGATATTATTTTTGCTTATAAATTAATTCATGGTGTTTACCACTGCCCAGACCTGCTTCTAAAGCTAAATTTTTATGTTTCTCCTAGGCATTTAAGAGGACGCAGATCCTTTGAACCTTGTCGGCATAGAACTTTGTATGGCTCGAATAGTAGCATGGATAGGATAATGAGAAATTGTAATGACTGTGATATAGACCTTTTTAATACTTCACTATGCTCTCTCAAAAAGTTCCTTAAAGATAGAAATCTTAGCTAAAGTTTTAAAATGTCTCAATTGCTGGTGATGTTTGCTGTGTTGTTTAGTTGTTCAGTTTTTTTAGTTTTTTTTTTTTAGTATTTGTTTGTAACTATTTTTATGCACGTTTTAATATTTTAATATTTTAATTTAGTAAATAGTCAAACTTTATGTTCATATGTTAGATTCTTTATTTAAGATGTGTGTGAATTTTATTAGGTTAAGATTGTACTTTTACAACCTGTAACCGAATGGGTTTATCCCGTAAATTTGTAAATAAATAAATAAATAAATAAATAAATAAATAAATAAATAAACACGGAAGACCTATTGGCATGCAAAGTGTTTACCGACGAATAAGAAGTTTTGGGTTGTTTTCATACCGGCCACACTGGATCCTCCCTTTAACTCGAGAACACGGACGTAATCGCCTTGTGTGGTGCAGACAAGGGTCACTCTGGGATCAGAAATGGAACAGTATTGTCTTTAGTGACGAGTCTCGATTTTGTTTAGGCATGCACGATGGACGTGCCAGGGTTAGAAGGCGACGTGGTGAAAGGAGGAATCCACAGTTTTTTGTTGAAAGACATGTTCATCACACTGTTGGAGTTATGGTTTGGGGTGCTATAGCTTATGGTTCCAGGTCACCTTTAATCTTCATCAGAGGTAACATGAACGCGCAGCGTTATATCCACGAAGTTCTAGAACCCCATCTTTCACCCTATCTTGACACCCTGGCAGATTCAACTTTCCAACAAGATAATGCCCGACCACATGTTGCAAGAGTCACAATAGACTTCTTTCAACATAATGATGTCACATTGTTACCATGGCCACCAAGATCTCCCGACTTATCCCCAAATGAGCACGTGTGGGATATGATGGGTAGGAGATTGCTCAATTTGCAACGTCCTCCTCAGACTCTAGAAGCACTTCGAGAGGAGTTGGTGGTTGCCTGGAATGAGATACCACAGGAGGACATTGACCATCTGATCAGAGGAATGCCTAGGCGCGTTGAAGAATGCGTAGCACATCAGGGTGCATCCACACATTATTAAAGGTCAAAGGGCTTTAAAGCAGTGCAATTATTTTGAAATTTTTATCATTTACTTATTATGCTTCATTAAGTACTTATACAAAATTTTATTAAAATAAAACCATTTAAACTGGGTGTTCCGATTTATATGTCATTTAGTATCCATTTCACGTATATCATTACATGTACTGATATTGTTGTTGTATATTTTATGCTCATTTTTTACGAAATATCTCCAAAAGGATCAGCGTTGATAATTTCGATATTAACCAAAACAACCGCCATATTTGATATTTTTACATTCAGAAATTCAGTTACAAGATAGAGAATCCCGGCAGGGTTGCCGGGTTTTCAGTCACGTTGGTCAAGTTTTGATGACAAAATCGCCAGAAATCGCCAATCCAGATTAACTAGGAGTCTAACCATAAAACTCCAGGTTAGAGATTGGAATGGATTTGTCGCCCGGGGAGGTGAAGTAGTGACTGGCTGCGACTTTCACCACCCCACCGAGGTTTACAATTCTTGTACAAGATGGCGCAAATGTAATGTCGTAGTGGCACCAAATATCGCTGTGCTTTTGACGCTTATGATGTAGATATACCAGTATACCCTATTTCTCGAGTATCCATCACGCTTTGACCTCGACAGAGATGAACAGTTGATCAGCAAGTGACATTTTTAGTCTGCGACGTTGGCAATAATGAATCGGGCGTACATCTAGTAAAACTTGTTTGTAGCGTTTTGTTATTCGTATGCAATTGAACTTTTCTAAATAAAAGAGCTGTTAGCAAATACAAAATGAGTCTGTATCGTACAAAAAACCAAAACAAAATACGGCTCTGACTACCTGAAGTTGACGGATCCGTCAGAATTATGTGTTCTGTGCCGATATGGGGAATGTTGAGATATTACTAGATAATCAGCTGTCATTCTACCGTGATGGATACTCGTGAAATAGGGTAATAGATAATGAGTTGTCAACAAGCCATGGAACGCTTATTTGACAAAAAGTATGTTATTTCAACGCAGCCTGAATTTGGTCGACGTTTTCCATGTGCTCGAACAATTAAACATTTGGCTAAGCGCCTCGTGCAGTGTTGCCAGACGTACGATAATTATCGTTTCTGTACGATAATTCAAGTACTGTAGGATGTACGATACTATGTGTAGGATAATATCTGAAAGTACGATCATTTTGCGAATGAGCTTTTTTACTTACAGATATTGAATCAATCTAACAACTACGTTCAATTAACACCATCGAGCAGCTGTCAGTGTTGTCGCTTGGTAGACAAGAGCGCGTACCCCGCTCTGTATAATGGGTTGGATAGCATTACGCGGACTATCTGGGCAAACATCAACGGGAAAAATTACCGTCAATCAGTTCTCACGTTCTATGTATTGACATGACGCACATATTTTTCTTTACCCATGCGCATTAGATGAAATGAATGCGACGTCTCCCGTTTTTATGACTTTTGAAACTTAAAAATCAAAAGATCGTTTTCAGTTATTTTGGATATTTAACCGGTTTCAATTCAATGACGATATGTCGGATTCCGAATCAAGTTGCTCTGGAACAGAGAAGCACAACAAAAGATGCGATACTCTCGAATACAGAAAACAAAAAAAGGAGCGGAATCTTTGAAGAAAGCCAAACATAGACAGCAAGCTTATAGGAAAGAGAGGACGGAACTTTTCCTTCATCATGGATCCTGAGAGAACCGAAGGCACGGTGTAGGATAATTTTGACGTGTTTGTACGATAATTCCCTGCGACGAATCTGGCAATGCTGGCATCGTGAAACTGAGTCCACTACACAGGATGATGCACACAATTGGACATCAGACGTTCGGTGCAACGAATTTTGTCGAAAGATTTGTGTGTTCCCCTACAAAGTGCAAAATGTTCACTGTCGGACAGGGTAAGTTACTGTTAAACTTGGTGCAACAAAAGGGTGATTTTATATCAAAAATCATGTGTATGCCCATTTCCACTCTAGCGGTTATATCAACAAACAAAATTAGCATTTGCACATGGAATGCATAAGAAGGCATTGCATCCTGTCAAAGTGACTGGTGCACCATTTGCAGTGAAAAAGTGATTGGCCTTTATTTTTTTGAAGACGCCGATTTCACCACCGTAACTGACCGTAACCGTAAATAGCGAGCATTTTTTCCCACAAGTTGCTGCATTGGGTCTCGATCATTGTTGGTTGCAACAGAACGGAGCAACCGCTCACACATGGAGAGTTTGAGACACAAATTTCTCTTTTTCCAATTTATGTCATCAATTTTACATTTTTAAATCATTTTTATAAAACAAAGCTCTTTTTTTTCTATTTCAACGATTCTAATGCCCCATCCCAAACTGGTAAAAAAATTATCTAAAATCCCATCTATGATCAACCTTTATTAGTACTGATGCGTAGACTACATGTTAGTGTTACATTTGAAACGTATACAAACAAAGAATAAAAAGGAAAACCGCTGAAACAGAATACGATGGATACGCATCATATTCGATTTCTTGCTGTAAGATACATATATAGATAAAACAAAAAATCTTTCCTATCATACAGTTGGACCTATTCTACCAATCTTTTCTAGAAAAAGTTACAAAAAATGATACATGGAAATCATGAAGCACAAATATATATTAAAAAATAATTGAAACACTTATCATGTAACGTTGAAGTTGAAAATTTGACATATGCCGTTTTTGAGTTTGGCATACATTGTAAGTATTACACTGCTTTAAAGTAACGAAATTTCCTTTGAAACAGTATGTTTTGTTTGATGCTGTCAATCGCCATAAGTTTCCACAAGTGTGTAAAGATCGAAAAAATGTGAACCGAATTTACATCAACGAACATATATAGCCTGTTTACCGATGTTAATTGATGAGACCCTTCGCTTTGAAGAGGTCGCGCATAAGCCCCTTAAGATACTTGATTTCCCTTTGCAAATCCGTAAGCTTCGTGTCAAGATCGTTCTTCGTGTTCAGCAGTATCTTCTCCTCGGTAAGGATTTCTTCGACTTCCGCTTTCTTTTTCAATCGGTATCTGGTAGCAGCGTTCTTGTTTTGCTCCTTCTTACGAACCTGGAACAATTAAATCGAATCGTCGATAAATTTAGACCTCGCGGACTCTGTTGTATGGTCAAAAAAGGCACCTGTATGCATCCCAATGCTTATATTGGTATTAAGAAAAATAGCCGACTAGGTATCGGCAATGGGCAATAAAACACAAGCTTTAAAGGTACAACTGAAATAAATTGATAAATATGGAGTAATTGGCGGTGAATTCAGGAACATTGTCCAATAACTTACTATATGTATTATACGTTTAAAAAGAAAGGCCGCATATTCAAGGAAGTTGTAGATCAGGTCTATGTCAACAGATCTCACCATATACTGGGTGTTAATAAAGTACCTGGACATACTTCAAGGGATGATTTCTTGAAGAAGAAGAAGAAGAAGAAGAGTTCATAGAAGCATAATTCCGGTAATGATATGTTTCCAGAATACAGGGTATCAAACTTTTTTGTTTTCTTCCATTTCCTGTCAAAAATATAATCCTTCATAACTCTCTGTTTTGTTGTTTGTTGAAATATAGTAGGCGCAGACGTATCGCCGCGCCGATCAACTAAAAGAAATCAAATAAGAAAAACGCCTCAAAAAAACAAAATCTCATAGGGCAAAAATAAACAGATTTAAATCCGCTGGTTTAGGTACACAAGAAGTAAACACAAATTTTCAGTAGCATGTATACAAATAACTCATAAATGTACTTAGAGTTATGGCACCTGAATGTTCAAAATAATCTACAATTACAGAATGACAAAAAATATGTACTTTGAAGTCAGTTTGGTCCGAAATGGGAAATCAGGGTACATAATTCAATACTCAATACTTGATATACAGGGTGTTTCTTACATGAACCGACAAAAAAGTATGGGTAATTGGGGACGAAATTTTGACCACTAAACAAATTATTTCTATGATGCGTAGCATCAAAGGCAAAGGGGCAAGGAAAGGCAAAGAAATACGGAACTTGTTTTAATAGAACTAAGTATCACCAGAGGTATAGTTTTTTGTAATCGAATTTTGAATTTATGTTTATTCACTCCGCGCTATTTTACGACTTTGGAACATAAGTCGTTTTATGGAGAAGCTTTGTACAAACCATTAATCTCATCTGATTCAGAATCGACTCGAATTTATCTTGTGTTATTATCTCGACAAACAAAAAAGTTACCACGATAGTTCTGCGCCAATGTAATTCAGCAAAAAAAAAACTAAAAAAATCATATCTCGGAAACCGTAGCCCTTAGAGCATTACGGTTTCCACCAAAAATCATCAAATAGCGTCCCCAATTATCCATATTTTTTTGTCGGTTCATGCAAGAAACACCCGCCCGCGGTATACCGACTTCGTACACTTTAAATTGTTGAACCAAATTTTGCATAGCGTGTGTGTTATTATCCGACCAAGAGAGGACCAACCGTGTAACTGCTGCACAGTCGGACGGATGAAAGCAGTATAATTAGTTCTTCAATGGACCATCATCTACTATTTCACCAGAATAGACATCAAGCGGTCACAGTGACGACTTGGCTGTCAACGAGGATTGAGACATTGTCCCCAAGTTCCATCAAATAATTCTTCTTTGCAATTTCAATATCTAAATTGGAATCTTGTATTTGGACACATGTACGGTATTTGGCCAAGGACTAACCCAGCTGGTGTCAAGTTCCAATTTCCTTGACTTCCATCGTATCTAAGAAGTCTGTTGAATCTCTTTCTGACCACGCCACATGGTACCTAAAACAATGATGTTCACTCTTCTCCTGGGTAACTCAAACCGTGCTCTAGTAGAGGTTATGGTCATACTAGAGAGACAGACTCGCTTAGGCCGTAGAATTTGTCATTATTATTATGTTGATAGAGAAGGGCCTGGGGGCATTTTCCTTCAGCTATCGTTTAAAAAGATGTTTTTTGTACGAAATCAGATGCAATGACTGTCTATTTTCATTATCGTTAGAAGCAAAATTAGGCACAGGGTAATGTCACAACATAATGGCAGTCGGTGTATATGGTCAGGTAGACAGAAGGAATCTTTTCAAAGAGGCTTCCACCTCTGACATGCCAAGACTGAACAACTGCAGCTGTACTCGACAAACAATGGATGTCCATCCTAATGTCCGAGTGCTAATGATACCAAAGTTTCCCCATACTACCAAGACTTGCAGACATGTCGCCAGGCCGGCAGTGGAGTCACTTAACACCGACAAAACTTCCGGTCCCAGCCATCGTATTAAAGAGATGTACACCGGAGCTTAATTCGCTCCTTTCACGACACTTTCAAATATCTTAGGACTTTTGACTAGGTTTTTTCCTGAAGACGGTATCTATTTATATCCCGTCAAGCGTCTTAAGATAAAGATCGAAGAGAAACCATGACAACTACCTATAACTGTGCTTTCTGTAACAAGCAAGGTAATGAAGAACTGAATCAATAGGCGGCTTCTAAAATATCCCGAACATCAGGGCTCGATTACCGACAGGAAGTACGATTTCCGGCCAGAGTGACGAAAAGATATGTTTTTCACTTCTTTTTGACTCGCGCCACTGATAGGTGAAAAGTAAGCTAATGTAGCGTACCTTCTTCGCTTCAACAGGCGTCTTAGAGTATGCCCGGGCCCTTTTGCGAGACGGTTTAGCTCCAGGTTCTGGGACCGCGTCTCCGGTGACCGGCTCCGGGACCCATTCCGGGTCGTCGGAAGAGCAATCGCCGAAGTTGCTGCAGCTGCTACTTTCTGGTGATCTGGAATTATGAAAAATGAGAAATGAAATGTAATCTAAAAAGTATACCAGCATTCAAAAGTATTTGAAGAACGGGGTTAGCAAATTTATTCAGGGGCATGGGGGCCTAGCTAGATGCTCATGCTCACGACATTGTTAGGGTAAAAGTTTTACCACCCATAAATAAAAGCGTAATTAATAATGCTAACGTTTTGGTACTCCTACTGAAAAAAAAATAATCTATAAACATCTCCGAAATAATCGTGAGTTATGTTGCCGTCATTTAGCACTTTATTAATTAATATAATAATTGCATTGTATTCCTTTTTACTAGCTCATCACTTTTGGTTTATATTAACGATTGTATCTTAATTATGAGTCAGTCATTCAATCTCAGTCACAGCGAACATACACACTGTAATTCCGGTTCGGTCCATGTAAACTATTGTTGGAATCAAATAAAGTTTTTTTAAAAACGAAGTTTGAAGTTCCGACTACATAATTGGCGCAGCCGCAGTAGGATTCCCAAAGGGATTTTCGCCGATTAGCCCTTGAGTCCGAACTCTTAATTGGGAATCACAAACCTCCGTGACGAGCCGGTACGACTGAAGAAAGAAGAAAGAATTTGGACCACAAGTGCCCTTTGTCCTGTTGAAGTCAACGTCCACCTGAGGAACCTAGGCCAAGAACGGGATGAAGTACTGGACCTATCAGTAAGTGCTCATTGTATCCTTATTTTTTCATGAGTGACTCACCCCGACCTGTAAATCCTTTCGAAGGTGATAGTGCAGATCAAATCGCTAATCGCATAGCAAGCTTAGAATTAGGACGTAGAGAAATAAGACAAGCAAACGAAACTATAGAAAGAATAATGACGACCCCCAGTAGAAATAGTACCCCCCAGTTCGACATAAAATTACTCCAAATTGTCCCAGAATTTGATGGGAATCCCTGTAGACTATATAGATATTTAGAAATAAGTACAGATTTATTAAATAACTATTGGAACACTGACGATACAGTATGTGTCCAAATCAAAATACTGCTGCATGGCATTTTCTCGAAATTGACTGGTGCTGCAGAGCAAGTATTTTCTCTTAGCGGTTCCACAGACTGGCACAGCATAAAAAATTTGCTAATTGCTCATTTTGGTGATCAAAGAAACGAGAGTAGTCTTATTTCAGATATGACTGCCCTTAGACAAAATTCTAATGAAAGCTCTTTACAGTTTTATTCTAGAGTTGTAACCATGCTGAATCATTTGCATAACTATATAAATATTCATGAAACAGTTGATGCTATTAAAACAAGTAAAAAGGCACTGTATGATAGTCATGCATTGCATACACTTTTAGTAGGTTTAAAGGAGCCACAAAGTTCCATGATTCGGTCGATGAAACCTAAAAATTTGGCAGAAGCTCAAGCTTATATTTTAGAAGATAATAACATTAGATATTTACAAAAGGCTGGTGCACATTCAAATTTCAATAAGCCACCTCAGCCTGCCCTTCCATCCAAACCACATTTTCAAAATTTGTTTAAGCCTCAAATGCAGCCTATGAATCAATTTAGGCCTCAGCAAAATTTCAATTATCAGCCTCAATTCCCAAGAGGACCAGTTCCGATTCAACCTAGACGTTGATCGAGAATTAATGAACAATTACCTTCAAGAACACAAGAATAGGACAAAATTAATATATAGCCTTATCTATGACATGTCGAAAACCCAAAAGGAAAAGGTTATTCGAAAAGCTAATAAAGACCGCGAAAAACCGACCGACTATTCTAGAGAAAAAGTAGCCTACCGACGTGACGCGAAGTCCCGAGGTAAAAAGCTGAAACCACCCTATATAAAAGAACAGATTCTGACTGACAAAGGTTTAAAACTAAAAACTAATAGAAATATTTATCATAAAAGTATTTTCAAAAAGCCCAGAAAGAAAGTAACTCAAAATTTGTTACAGGATGATACTTCTTCTGATAGTGCATCTGACACATCAATCCACGGTGAAGGTCACCAACCTTAAAACAAATCCTGGTATACTACCCTTCAGATTAGGTGATGCTAAAGTAAAAATAGGAACACATACATTTTTACACTATGTAGATTTTGAGCCGATAATTAAGGAAGTAAATTCGCTAAGTACAGTATTTCAAGAAATCAAGGACCAAACAGAAAAGAATAAATATAATTTAGGATTCATTCCAGATACACATTTGGCTGATATAGAACAACATATAGTTTACTCGATGTCAAATTTGAAAAACAAAATAATGTCCATATATCCATTCTGGAAAAAGCAATATCGCCCAAAACGAGGTTTGATAAATGGTTTAGGATCAATTATCAAAATGATTTCAGGGAACTTAGATGATGACGATGCTAAAAAATATGACCAGGCTATTGAACAATTACAGAAAAATCAGAACCAAGTAATTAAGACAGTTAATCAGCAAATTTCCTTGACCCACGAAGTTCTCAAAAATAACAATAGGACATTTAGCCTTATGGTTCACAATCAAGCTGTAATCGAACAAACTTTGGTAGAGATGCAAAGGAACAATACATACTATTTTACTATTTTGGATACACTATTACAAATAAAGTTCAACTTAGATACACTGCTCTCTATAACTAGTAATTTGGAAAATGCCATCGCATTTGCCAAAATTGGGTCATTGCACCACAGTATTATTTCGATAGACGAATTAAAGTCAATATTCCAAATATTAGTCAAAAATCATAATAAAGCTCAGTTGGTGTATTCAGACATCAAAGATATTTATAAGCTTTACGACATAATTTCAGTAGAAGCATATTTTTCTGAAAATCGATTAGTTTTTGCCTTACATGTTCCGCTTATGCACGTAGACAAATTTAAGCATTATCATCTTTATTCCATTCCTACTGTTAACCAAACTACCATTATTCCCAAAAATTCCTATTTCACAATGAGTACCAAAATGTACCAATATGATGCTGAACCATGTCAAATGATAGAAGATATTTTTATTTGCCACGAAAACAAATTGGTCCATGTTGCAGAAGAAGAAGACGACTGTTTATTTGCTATTTTACAAGTAAACAAAAAGCACCCAAATTGTAACAAAATTCCCGTAACTCTTAAAATGGCCTTAATTGAAGAAGTTTCAGAGTCCAAATACATTGCTATTTTTCCGAAACAGTGAAGCACCCCTACAAATGGAGTCTACCCCTGTATGCAATTATGTTAATTGGAATTGCATGCATCTTCGTGAAAAAGTATTACCAGAAAAGAAAAGGATCAAGAAGAAGCCAGCAGTTAGAAGAAATCGAAATGCAACCCCAGAGGCACGAAGTTTTGTTTGTGCCCTCCAAAACTTCATCTTAAGGGTGGAGGAGTTATGTTGCCGTCATTTAGCACTTTATTAATTAATATAATAATTGCATTGTATTCCTTTTTACTAGCTCATCACTTTTGGTTTATATTAACGATTGTATCTTAATTATGAGTCAGTCATTCAATCTCAGTCACAGCGAACATACACACTGTAATTCCGGTTCGGTCCATGTAAACTATTGTTGGAATCAAATAAAGTTTTTTTAAAAACGAAGTTTGAAGTTCCGACTACATAATTCGTGCGCGCAATTAAACTTTTGGGTGAAATAAATGTCTAAATATGATAGAAAGTTTAGTTTCTGGGACTATAGAGCAATTTGCACCAGTGCCTTGGGTAAATACACTTCAGTTTTTCAATACCCCGTACACCAGTGGCGAAGCGTCCATGTAAACATTGTTACCACTGGTAACAGTTAAAAATCTTAAAAATAAATAATTTATTACTGTGAGATAATTTCATTCATTTGTTTACCCAGCAATATGTACTAGTAATTCAGTAAATAGCAGATTAGCCCCACGAAAATAATGCCCCTATAATACGCGATCAAGCCGACTCGCCTCGACTTGGTTGTTACCATTTTCGTTTATGGATACACTTGATAGTCCGTCGGGGATAGTCGGTCCCGGCTCGTGTCTGATCGCTTGGGCCGCCGCGATTATTATGTAGGCTTGTTACCATTTTTTGTTCTGGTTACTCACTTCTCCCTGGTTAGTAATCGTTTTGGTTGCCGGCTGTAGTATGCGTGCAATTAAACATGGATGAGTGCGCTGCGTAATCGATTAACTACTTGAAAAGTCATTCTCCTTGTATAATTTTGAAGAAAAAAAGGAGATAATTGAAAATGGAATACCAACTTATTTTAGATGATTTTAAAAAGGAATAAAAAAAGTAGTTCGATATTTCAAATTTAGTTGGTATATTGAAAACTCTTGGTTATGTGGTTGCAAGAAAAACAGATTGTATTGTTGGCCATGTCTTCTGTTTTCTACAAAAAAATTAGGTGGACCAGCAACGATTTAAATAGTTTCAGGGTTCTGAAGAGGAGACATGAAATTTCTCCTTTACATGCAAGATGTGTAGCCAGTTTGATTCAGTTTGGCAAAACAAGAATCGAAAGTTGTCTTAACCAAGATTTTAGCCAGGCACACTTATAGATGCTGTTTGTTTTTTGGCCAAACAAGAATTACCATTTCGGGGTCATTTTGAAGTGGATGACTCTGACAATAGAGGAAATTACTGGGAATTAACATTAATTGCCAAAAAAGATAAAAAAAATTCCGAACATCTAGAAACGTCTACTGTTTTTCGGAAGGCTTGGATTAGTCATAGCATAAGACGATGAGGTATATCAAGTGCCGCTGACGCCCAGTCCAGCAATGTTTACCTTAATTTAAAAAAGTTTAAATACAATACCTAAATAAACTTTTACATGGGAGGGTCAAAATAAACCTTTTTTAATATGATTTTTCTCAACTGGTTTTGGTAACAGTTTAGGAAAAGTCACGCGTCGCTACTGCCGTAGACATGGTTTAAACTGGGATGGTATTTTTTAAATCGGTGATAAAAGTATGCACATGTTAACAAGGTTGTCATGACGACATTAAAAACTTCAAGATCAAGGCAATTTCAACAAAATTTGTATACATTACTATATTTTCTAACCAATACGACTAACATACCTATGGTTAAAAATGAGCCTAATACTAAGAGTACAGTGTGTGAACAATAAGAAAGCTTAAAAGTATTTCACATCATTTATCAGACTATAAAGGTTGACCCTTACGATATAACTGCGTTAAGGAAAATAATAACATCAAGAGATCTAGTCACTAAGGCACTAAGGCGTCGGTACACAGGAAACACGGCATTTTAGTCAGGTGTTCAAATCACAGCCTTTTTTTTATTTATTTCAGTTTTCACGTAATACTAATTTATTTTACTCCGACTTATCAATATCAATGTGTACTCATAATTGTTGGCATTTAATATCTGGATCTACAAGATTTTTTGAAAAGAGAGAGTGGTGACCCATCACTTGTTTCTGACACTGCAAATAAATTACCAGCCAATCATCGTAGCTGGAAGAACTAGTATGCTGAACAGTCATTTTGAGGTCTATTCAGTGTCAATTTGAAATAGTGTATGTTAGTTTGTAGCATCTTCTATCTGGAAATTCAAGATTTCTATTCAAGGCTTTGGAAGTATGTAAGTTTAGTGCAGCTATCTTTACGAATTTTATTATTATAGTCATAAATAAAAAATCTAGATAGCTAATTTGGTAATAATACGGTACAAAAGTATGATAAAATCGAAATATGAAAAGCCCTGACAAATGGCGCTGCCTGCTGGTCTAAGATCCGAATTAGAAACGACCTCCACCCATCTATTTTAGTGGATGAAATGTATTTTATATAAAGTTTAGTATATCGCGAGTAAGTTGGCTAAAAAAGCCTGCCGATGCTATGATTAATTAAAAATTGAAAAAGAAGTTTTTATTCAAAAAATGTAACAGCCTGTAAGGTAGGTACACATTACCATCATATTGCTATCTTATGCTCAAGTCTAAGATCGTAATGTTATGATAGGAAATGCATACAAAGTGTTTTTTTGTGTGACTCGGATGATTTCTTAATTGATTTTAAAAATGGCACCTTAAGTAATTGTTCATTGCAGTTAGCTTTTCATAAAAGAAAGAACTTTAAGTACAATGAGGTTGAGTTAATGAAAGTATCACTCGATTTTGTTGGTTTACGTACCACCTGTTATAAAAAATAGACTGCTTTAATTTTTTGTACTGAGAATACAGCAATTCCGAGCACTTCTCCAAATAGACGAAATAAACGGGATTTTTCAAAAATCTTTTTCATCCATTAAACAGATGGGTGGGTTTCAAATTCGGATCTTCTACTATACTAAGAATCAATGATTCTAACCAGTCTTAGCTTTGGATGATGAGCGGCGCTTTTGTCGGGCCGTTCAGATTTGGAACAAAAAGCAGTCCTATCTCCTGGATAATGGGCGGCCATTCGACTTTATGGAGCAAATTATACTAATTCTCTCAAAAAATCTAGATAAATACTACACATTAACAAATACTAGTACAAGTTAATATTGGAATGCGTCAGAATAATGTCACTCAACAATAGAAAAAAAACAAAAGGGAAAACAATGTCTGCAATAGAAACGCCTTCTTAAAGGTCGATTCCAAACATGATGGTTTATGTGACAATGAATTATTTTTATTTATTAATCGATTGTACAGAGTATTTGCAACTGTTACATGTTTTTGATGGCCGTCTTGAAACACGGACCAAGGAGTCTAGCGCGAGTCATTGGGACTTAAAGGCGCAATGAAAGTAAAAATCCGCCTAACCGCCTTAAATTTCTAGCCCTATCAAATCCTAATGATCTAATGAAAAATTTATGGTACCTGGGACTGCTGCTGGAGCTGCTCTGGCTGCTGCTCCACTGCATGTCTTCGACACGAGAGCGCACCAACTCTTCCACCTCGGCAAGCTCGAGAGCGATGTCAGGGCTCTGTTGGTTGGGGAACACATTGCATTCCATTTCATTCAACATGGGCAGAGGGCAAAATTCTGGAGTTGAAAAAAAGGTTTACAATTAATTTTTACTGACATAAAAACTGAATGATGGAGAAAAATAAACCAACACTAGTCTGGTGCAACATATTCACCAAAGTCTTAAGATTACAGAAATATTAGACACCGCAAATTCAATCAAACCTAAAAAAAACCTGCATGCTTTATCAGATCAAAGTGAATACATGCGATGCGGCGTAGTACTCAATCCACGCGCTAGCCAAGGTTGTAAACAAAACCTTAACACATCAGTTCTAAGAAAATGGCACACTTTTACAGCAATATCAGAGTTGTCCATATTATTTTAATTACGGTGTCTTCGAAATGCTGCCAACGCTTCGCGAGTGCATGCAGATTGTTTTCGAAAATTCTTCGCGATTTTTTTGTTTGTGGCGAAATGAAATATTTGGTGTATAAAACTGAGGTGAACACGGTTGACGAACTACGTGTGCGAATTTAGCAATCTGCTACGTGCAGTAGCAAGGAAAAGGCAGTCCATTCCAGAAGCATACACCGATAATACCTATAACCTATAACGAGCACATACACCTTTGATCAAAACTTACAAGTGACAGTTTTTTTCGATGAACGGTGTATACTTTTCCATTTCTTTCTATTAAGTTTTCACCGCACATTAGCTTTATTATTACAAACGTAGTTGTTCTGAAAACGATAGTCCCAACTTTCGGGACACCCCGTATAATAGTCAGTACAGAGCAGTTAATCCCAGAAATAATTAGTTAATTCAGGAATGTTCATGGACTCAATGGAGTCTAAAAGTGCGTAATGTGCTTCCTCTAGGCAATCTCTGGAGTCGCCTTTGTTGTACAAGTTGTATCCTACATTTATGTAGAAGTATAGAAAAATTATATTTATCATCAAGTCTTGCTAAGCAACAATGTTGGTCATTCCCAGTAGTGACCAAAGGAATGCAGTATCAAGAAAAACAATGTTCAACGGCGTACTTATAGCTATGCCAGTCCATCGTCCCAAGAGCTACTGCAGTAAATCAAAAATGCTATGCTCTTCATAAATCCGTGTAAGTCTAAAGGTATTCTTGATAATGAATTTCTTCTTGCACTTAATGAGCAATATAATCGAATAATCTGTATCGCTAGGTCTTGTGAGGCGTGACGCCCAGTCACGTTCAAAAACGCGATGGACAAAATTTGTCCCATCTCGGTTAGTCATTGTATCGAGACAAAAAACAGGCAAATCACTCTAAAAAGATCACAATTTCTTTTTATGACTCCTAGTCTAAACCCGCGGCTCTGCTTGAGTGGAAGTAGTGTAAAGTATAGTATTATTTTGAAGGACATTAGTTTCGGAGAAATAAATCAATATTTAAAATAATGCAATAGTTATTTTGGTACTAGATATTTTTTATTCAACATTTTAACAATATATAAATGTAAATGTCTCTCCAGTCTGTCAGCATCACGTCTGAACCACAACGAAGAGACGTAACAATTTGGACGCTTACGAGTTTATAAGATTATAGGCATGGTTCTCATCGTCAAATCCGCCTATATTTGCAAAGTATATATGAAATACCCGAACGCCCCGAAAACTTGACAACCACGCATTTTTTGGAAAAAGGATTCTTCCGATAACTTTCTTTCATATCATCCAGATAATTTTTTTTATTTAAAAAATGGACCCTAAACAGTGGATTCTGTCCATTGTACCTGTCCCTAAAACCCAAGTATTCCAAATCCTACTGAACTTAAATATCTTAGACCTATATGCCGGTTACCCGTGCTTTCAAAAATAATTTCAATCATGCTAAGAAAACTAATGGCGAAATGTAAATGAACGCCGCAAATGGAATATTTATATACTCTTACTCATTTCGGTAGGACACCGCATGTCAAAGTCCATTAAGCCGTTTGGGCTATATATAGCACGTGAAATATACAATTTTTTCAATTAAATTAAAAATAACTTTGCAAGTTAGACAATAACCGGTTTTTATTGTTTTACTCAAAAATCGCGCAACAAAAGAAAAAAACTCAAGAAAGATTATTTGTTTTAAATTGAACGGGGAATTCAAAAATAATTTTTAATTGGCAAAAAACCATTAGCGTACCATTTTTTTCTTAAAAAATATCGAAGCCAATACCCGTACGCACGCCACTGTTAAAGCTAAAAATTATTTTTGCATTGAAAAATATGTAACTTTTTTAACTTTCACTACGTACTAAATATCAGTGAAATATCTGAAGCGGTTCTGAAAAAATTAATTTCCGTTTTTTTTCTAAAACTTCAACACCTCGAGTTTTGTAAGGAAACATTTTTGGACCATAGTTTATAAAGCAAACTAACATTAATTTTACATGTAGATTCACACCCTTAAATATTCGCATATCATTATTATATTTCAACACTATTTCCCGAGATAAAGAGTGCTATTCCAGACTGTAATATATTTATGTTTCATTCAGATCCGTTCAGCCATTTTGGCGCATTTATAATATCATTAGGGATTCCAATCTAATCGGTAAACATTTTGTACATAGTGAATGAAATACATATTCTCCCCAAGAACTAACCTAGTAATCTGAGCCACAATTATCAGTAGAAACCAGAAACTCCCTTTCGCTAATATCAAAATGTTATGTTTTCTAATATTGGCGTGTTCGATAGGTCTAGTCTAGATATTTCAGAGTCACTAAGATATTGAGAAAGAACGCGTATGTCTCTTAGCTTGGACATTTGACTGAGGTGTTTATTGCTCAAACAATACTTTGAGGCAATTCTAAATTTACGAAAACTATTCTCTAAATCTACTTTGAAAAAGTTAGTGTCTCATAGATGGCGCTGTAGCCAGCTATATGAGCATATAGCTTTCAAAGTAGAATTTTCATTAATGCGGAGAGAAGAAACATAGCTGTTACAAATTTTCATAGATGACGCTTGCGGTATTTCATTTCATCTCGAATAATTTTACAAACGCGCGAAAATGTAGAATTAGTAGGCTATCTTCAGGTAGAATACGTTAATGAATGCGTCAACCTAAGAATCCATCAAACTCCCTCTTGAAAATGGTAACTTCTTTTTTTGTATAAAAAACAAAATGAAACAAAATACTAACCCTGTGCGATGATCTTCCCCGGCGACGGCACCTGGGGCACGACAGCCGGGTAAACGTGCTGCTGCAACGGCTGGCTGATAGGTTCGAGGGTAGCCAGCATGGGCGGTCCCTTGGCTGGAGGGCTTTGGGGCGGTGTCAAGGCCACGGAGTTGTACACGTTCTCGAAGTCATTCAGGAAGTACTCCGTAGTAGCTGCGGTGGTGGTGGTGGCTGGGTCATCCTTGAAGGCGTGCTGGAGAGGTACCGGCACCGCCCGCGGCGCCTCGACCGCATCCAGCAGGGGCAGGATCTTTTCATCGAGTAGGTAAGGTTCTGGGAAAAATAGATACCTTCAGATGATATGCCGCCTTCCTGTTAATGCAAACCCCGCAAATCGTATTTACACTATTTTACGAAGTAACCAACCTCTAAATTTTATGTAACCAATCCAGCATAAGCAATATACACAAAACGTTTACGGTCTAGTGCTTTGCATTGTATATTTCTATACAAGTCATATCCTCTTTCCAAAAATCAACAATATTTTTGAATAGCTGCGCACGGTAATTAATAACATTGATCAACAGCCAAAAAATATCCTAAATAAAATCAACAAAATATTACTATTTTTAATGTGCTAAAACCGGAATGAAACTTATTTTTTCAATATTAGTTCAAGTTTTAGAGATACGGTAAATATGTGTTCCTGCTGTGACAGTGTTAATATACTCTAATTCACAAGAATGCACGTGCTACATTTTTATATTCGGCAAGGAAAGATGATGTAATCGGCATGATTGTATTACGTTATACATACGTGTACATTATAGTGTTTTATATTAGCCATTTTTTCCTCAGTTGGCTGACAGCGTTCATGCAAGATGTCTCGAAAGTATGTAAACAATCCAGATCAGTTTTGTTACGTGTGTGGTGATGTGACTTTTGCGTCTCAGAGACGGTCTATTACTCCACTAATAACAAAGGCATATCAGCTTTATTTCGGTTGTAATTTAGGTGATCAAGACAAACAGTGGGCACCCCACATCTGCTGTAATACATGTGCTTCAAGTCTGAGGAGCTGGTTAAATGGCAAAAAACGGTCTATGCGCTTTGCTGTCCCAATGGTTTGGAGAGAGCCTACAAATCATATTAATGATTGTTACTTTTGCATGGTACCTTGTGTTGGACAAGCCACAGGTATGTCCAAGAAAAAAAATCGGTTATTAACTACCCAAACATATCATCTGCGATGAGACCTGTGCCTCACAGTGACGAAAATCCTATTCCAAAACCCCAGAATTCTACACTTGCGAATCAGAAAACGAATCGGATCATGGCGATCGAGTGATTCGTCAGGAAGAAGATATGCCATCAACGTCAAGAGATCCTGATTTTATACCGAGCACGTCATGCCACCAACCGCACAAAATAACACAGTCAGAATTAAATGATCTTGTAAGAGATTTAGAACTTCCAAAATGTAAGGCAGAGTTACTTGGATCAAGACTGCAGCAGTGGAACTTGTTAGAAGACGATGTTTCGGTATGTGTTTTTCGTAAACGCCACAAAGACCATTTTTCAATATGGAGAATAACTTGGTTTTCTGCAGTAACATTAACGGCTTACTGGCGGCTTTAAATATAAACTATAACCCAGAAGAATGGAGATTGTTTATAGAAAGTTCAACATTGAGTTTAAAGGCAGTGTTATTGCATATTGGAAATATTTTACCATCTCTTCCTGTAGGGTATGCAGTTCACATGAAAGAATCATATGACAATATGAAGTACCTATTGACATGCATAAAATACGATGAGCACCAATGGCATATTTGTGGCGATTTGAAAGTTGTTGCACTTTTACTTGGGCTGCATCTAGGCTACACAAAGTTTTGCTGTTTTTTGTGTGAATGGGACAGTCGGGCAAAGGCACTTCATTACACCAGACAAAACTGGCCTGTTCGTCAATTCCTAGAGCCAGGTCAAAAAAATGTACAGCATATGCCATTAGTAGATTCGAAAAAATTTTTAATACCACCACTGCATATCAAGTTGGGCCTAATGAAAAACTTTGTCAAGGCATTAGATAGAGATGGGTTAGCTTTTCAATACCTGCGTCAGAAATTTCCAAGACTAAGTGAGGCAAAGGTTAAAGAAGGTATTTTTGTTGGGCCACAGAACAAGCATAAATTCTCAATGCACTCGGATGTTCATGGATATAACACCAGGCATTCCAATCTACTTCAACCTAGCGCTCACAGGCTAAAGATCTCAGATAAAAACTCACTTGATGTTAGGGTATATAACAAGCTAAAAAACACTACTAAGAATCTTACTTTAAAACATTTTAAAAATACACTTTGGCAAGAATTAGTTAAACATCCTTTTTATTCCTTGAATGAGTTTATCGCGACCCCCCTATGTGTGTGATCTGGCCTACTACACCTTTATATTATATTTCATTTTATTTTTACCAATTATACTTTTATATGTATTGTATACGTCATCAGTAATTTTTATGACAAGTGTAAAAACAAATGTTTTGTTAATTGGCACGTAATATATATATATTCATGTAAAGCGTTATTGTGGCTTGTTTATAAGAGATCGCTATATGTTTCCGCGGATTTCTTAGTTGTTTTGAAGACTCTTATTTTCGTAGTAATAGCATTTATGTATGACTTACCATTTAGGCAGCGTACGCAGTTATAGTAACATGATAGTGATTTTTAAATATTTCATTTATTCGAGCAGATCGATATATGGAAGCTTTATTCTTAAAACAAGTCCAATAATTCATAAATCGTTTTACTTAAGAGCATTATAACAAATGAATGAGATCTTGTGAGCATAATATAAAAAACTAAAATTGATTCGAAATATTTTGAAAGATACACAGTTTGAAAACACTTTAACAGGTATTGAAAAAACTGCTTGGAATGATTTCCGTCTGGTGGTCACTAATTTCTTGGGAAATAGAAAAGCTGACAACTATAAAACCCTTGTCAAAAATATGCTGTCATCGTATCAAAAGATGGGCTGTAATATGTCTCTTAAGATACATTTCCTACACTCACACCTGGACTTTTTTCCTGACAATTGCGGAGCCGTAAGTGATGAGCACGGCGAACGTTTTCATCAGGATATTTCAACAATGGAAAAAGGTACCAGGGAAAGTGGAATCCTTCCATGCTTGCAGACTACTGTTGGACTCTTGGTAGAGATGCTCCAGAAATGATCCATAAAAGGACAGCAAAAAGACAGCGCATATAGTGATTCTTATAAGTATATGAATCTTGTTACTTTTTTTAATAAATCCTTAAAAATAAAAAGTTTTTTTTCTAAACCGCAACTAATTTTTTTATTTCATTGTCATTTTTGGATTCAGCGCCCCAAAATTAACAAAGAAGTGCGTGCACTTTTCCCACAAGATACAATTAAAAAACTAAAATTTGTTGTCCGGTGTAATATATATAATTTTGTCATATCTTGGTGAAATTTTGTGCTAAATGTTCAAAGTGTCCGTTAAGGTGGCTCTGACGCAGTGAGTTTCAAGCCATTTACAAGGGTTCAGCGGCTTCGAAACGGACACTCCATTTTTCAATATTTTTCAATGAAATTCATACAGTATGTTCGGAAGATCATTCCCCAGGGTGCTATATGAGCACTTTTTGAAATTTTGTTTTTGCACAAGTTTTATGATGAGTTGAAGTACGCACTTTTTCTGTTCAACTTTGCGATTTTTTTAAAAAGAATCTAGTGAAAAAATGAAAAAGTGGCTCTATAGCACCCTGTGGGTTGTTGTTTTCAGCACACTGTGAAAATTTCATTCAAGAATATCAAAAAATAAAGCGTCAATTTCGAACCGCGCAAACCTCTACAAATCGTATTTTGGACAAATTTTGTCTACTTTTTCGTGCTGCCAACCCAAGAGTTGCGGCGCAATGTACGGACTAAGAAAGGACGTATTTAGATAATTTGGTGGCCCTAATTCATATAATATCGCGTAGATAAGTCGATCTGCAAATAGGTACTCATAATCGCGATCGCTGAGTAGGAGTACCTCGCTTTTAAAGCCGTTTTACTTACCACGTCATTGGCGAGGAAGTATTGTAATCGCGAAAAATTTCTAAAATGAGATGATATGTTTTTTAAGTCATTTGACATCTACATCACGAACAACTATATCACTCATCATCAACTTGGAAATTACCGCTCGGATTTTAATGAAATTTCCACACGGGGATACTAGTATGCCAAAGCTTTGTAGTTTTAGCCCAATGGCAAGGGTGCTATAGGCAAAAAAGAAAAAGTAACAATTGCTGAAACTCCGTTTTTGACGTTACAGGGGTTCCTTATCATTGACATAAACAAATTGTATTGCTTAAAAAGTGGGGGTTGCGGGAAGGTGATTCTAAATGTTGCATCTTTGATATCAGTCAAACACGTTCTATTATTAAGAAGCTTCTGGTCCCAGTGATTATAGGAAATTTCAGTAACGAAAATCTGACGAATAATGTGCTCACGATTTGAAAAAATCGGTACCTGCTCTATAGGTTTGACACCAAGAGCCAACAGATCTATTTGCAACTGCCGACAGTAGGGAAGAATGAATTCGGATATCACTCAAGTCCAGTATAGGGGAATTTAGCGTGGAACTTTAAAATTATCGATATGTCAAGGAAATACGTATTTGAGAACGATAATTTGGTAGATTTTATACCTGCATTTTCATTTGAATTTCATGACCCGTGAAATGTACCCATTTCGCCGTTACCTTCAATTTTTGTTCTGCAGTTTGTGATGTTTTTCTGGATATAAGCAGGACATAATTGCCTAAGGTGCTATCAGAGCTTTTTACAAAATTTTGTCTTTGTGCAAGAATTATGGTGGGTTGAAATGCTTACTATTTGTGCTCAACTTCTTGATATCTTAAAAAGATCCTAGTGGATAAAATCGGAAAAGTGGACCGTTAGCACCCTGTGGACTTTGTTTCTAGCACGCTGCAAGAGTTTCATTTGGAAATACTAAAAAATGATAGGTAAGCTGTGAAGTGCAATTATGTTTACAAGGGTCATGTGGTACAATATCTTATGCCGTCAAAATAAGAGGAAACAGTTAGGTAGTTTTTGCAAAGCAATAAACAGGTAGGCTTATACCTGGATTAAGTACATTTCTTGTCTACTGTAATAGGTAGATGGAGGCGATGCTGCCAGAAATGATTGTGTGGGATCAATAAACAAACCACAAGATTGAACTGCAGTATCCAATGATTTTTGTATTGCCTTTTTTATTGCCTTACTAGAAAACACTGTTAGGTATATGATGGAGTTT